ATTGATTGTTGGGTACCCGCCACCATGCTGGTCAAGTACTTCTCACACAACTAGTAGAAACAATAAGCTACTAGGAACAAGTGCATCGCTAGTAGTAACAAGTGCCTTACTTGTAGTAACAAGGACGCCAGTAGAAACAATAATTAATTAAAAACAATAACCTACTAGGAACAAGTGCATCGCTAGTAGTAACAAGTGCCTTACTAGTAGTAACAAGGACGCTAGTAGAACAAGTAATTAATTGGCTTACTCTTCTGATGATATATATTGGATCCCTAGATCTAAAAGACCCCCCTGAACATTGTGGCGTATGTTAATGGACATGTTTCTGTTGGTCGACCTTGGAACGAATTCTGTCCGTTTTGGTTTTGCCGGGTCCACAGAATCATGGTTCAAGCTGGGGCCATTGCGGGGTCCACAGTCAGGGGCTGCAGGGCAGCGGATGAACATCCACGAAATGGGTAATTATTGATTGTTGGGTACCCGCCACCATGCTGGTCACAGGACTAGTAGAAACAATAAGCTACTAGGAACAAGTGCATCGCTAGTAGTAACAAGTGCCTTACTAGTAGTAACAAGGACGCCAGTAGAAACAATAATTAATTGAACACAATAACCTACTAGGAACAAGTGCATCGCTAGTAGTAACAAGTGCCTTACTAGTAGTAACAAGAAGCTAGTAGAAACAATAAGCTACTAGGAACAAGTGCATCGCTAGTAGTAAAAAGTGCCTTACTAGTAGCTTATTGTCTCTACTAGGAACAAGTGCATCGCTGGTAGTAACAAGTGCCTTACTAGTAGTAACAAGAAGCCAGTAGAAACAATAAGCTACTAGGAACAAGTGCATCGCTTGTAGTAACAAGCTAGTAGAAACAATAACTAATTAGAGACACTAAGCTACTAGGAACAAGTGCATCGCTAGTAGTAACAAGTGCCTTACTCGTAGTAACAAGGACGCCAGTAGAAACAATAATTAATTGAAAACAATAACCTACTAGGAACAAGTGCATCGCTAGTAGTAACAAGTCCCTTACTGGTAGTAACAAGGACGCTAGTAGAAACAAAAATTAATTTGAAACAATAAGCTACTAGGAACAAGTGCATCGCTAGTAGTAACAAGTGCATCGCTAGTAGTAACAAGTGCCTTACTAGTAGTAACAAGAAGCTAGTAGAAACAATAAGCTACTAGGAACAAGTGCATCGCTAGTGGTAACAAGTGCCTTACTAGTAGTAACAAGAAGCTAGTAGAGACAATGAGCTACTAGGAACAAGTGCATCGCTGGTAGTAACAAGTGCCTTACTAGTAGAAACAATAAGCTACTAGGAACAAGTGCATCGCTGGTAGTAACAAGCTAGTAGAAACAATAACTAATTAGAAACACTAAGCTACTAGGAACAAGTGCATCGCTAGTAGTAAAAGTGCCTTACTAGTAGTAACAAGGACGCTAGTAGAACAAGTAATTAATTGGCTTACTCTTCTGATGATATATTGGATCCCTAGATCTAAAAGACCCCCTGAACATTGTGGCGTATGTTAACGGACATGTTTCTGTTGGTCGACCTTGGAACGAATTCTGTCCGTTTTGGTTTTGCCGGGTCCACAGAATCATGGTTCAAGCTGGGGCCATTGCGGGGTCCACAGTCAGGGCCTGCAGGGCAGCGGATGAACATCCACGAAATGGGTAATTATTGATTGTTGGGTACCCGCCACCATGCTGGTCAAGTACTTCTCACAGGACTAGTAGAAACAATAAGCTACTAGGAACAAGTGCATCACTAGTAGTAACAAATGCCTTACTAGTAGTAACAAGGACGCTAGTAGAAACAATAATTAATTAGAAACAATAAGCTACTAGGAACAAGTGCATCGCTAGTAGTAACAAGTGCCTTACCAGTAGTAACAAGGACGCTAGTAGAAACAATAATATATTGGGAACAATAAGCTACTAGGAACAAGTGCATCGCTAGTAGTAACAAGT